TACGACTGGCATTCATTGGCCAGGCAGTGTTCCCTCTAAGCTGAGTTACTCTGAGCTAGCGCACAGTTTTTTAGACTCCAGTTGACACATTTTTTTTTGGCTTGGCTCAGGAAGGAGGGCTCCAGAGCCAACTCATTTATGCAGCAGCCGAATCGCTCGCTCACAACTTTCATACCAGTAGCTCACAAAGTAGAATTTTGCTCACAAGACGCCACAGCTTAGAGGGAACACTGGCGCTCCAGGGTCTCAGGCAGAGGTCTTTCACATCACCTCCTGCCTGGTCCTTTTAACTGGAGATGCCGGGGATTGGACCTGGGACCTTCTGCATGCCAAGCAGAGGCTCTGCCACTGAGCCAGGGTCTCAGGTCAAGGTCTTTCCCATACCCTCCTGCCTCGTCATTTGAACTGGAGATGCTGGGGACTAGAACCTGGGACCTTCTGCATGCCAAGCAGAGGCTCTGCCACGGAGCCAGGGTCTCGGGGTCAAGGTCTTTCTCATCCCCTCCTGCTTGGTCCTTTGAACTGGAGATGCCGGGGCTTGAACCTGGGACCTTCTGCATGCCAAGCGGAGGGGCTCTTCCCCCGTTCTGGAACACACACACACGCTGCTCCAAGCGAAGTCAGACTGGCCCCCGCAGAAGAAAAGACAAAACGAGACAACCAGGAGCCATTTGAAGCAGAACTTTATTTCCTTCCCTCGTCAGAGAAAAGGGCCCGGCCGCTGTGCCCAACAGCCACACTTCAGGCTCGGAAGGACTAAACAAGGTTTTGGTTACAAACCGGCAAAGCGAGGAGACGCGGCGGCAGCTCCCGCCGCTGGTTACGGAGAGAGCTTCCTTCTCGAGGAGAGGAAGGAGGAGAGCTCGAGACGAGAAGGTGGTGGTGGGGGTGCCGTCTGCCGTCCCACCGGGGGCAGTGGTTTCTCGGAAGCAGTGGATGGCACCGGAACATATACGCGGTATCCAGATGCCCCGTTGGCGGGCTAAGGCCCCTTTCCAGGCAAGCGGGCGGGCGCCGGGGGGGGGGGGGCACATAGATTCAGTCCCACGGGCACGGAAGGCAGTGCTTTGGCAAGGAAAGAAGTGTGTGGTCACCCCTGCCCCTCCCCTTCCGAGGGGAGGAGAGGAAGTCCCTGACCAACTGGGTGGGGGGAGTTAGTGCGGCGGCATGTAAACAGATCCACAGGAAATTCTGACCCACCCACCCCTTTGCTTACTTTAAGGGTAACCTGGTTCCCCCCCCACCCCCATCGCCAGCCTCACTGGCACGCAAACACGCGGCCCCAGCCGAGAGGCGGCGTCTCCGGTGGGAGGCGTCAATGGCGCTACAGAGCGGGGGGCCTCGGGAGGGGCGGTGTGATGACGAGGCGGGAGGGGGGGCGGGGCCTAAGGCACGGG